GGGGGGGGGGGCTCCCAGCCCTGGCCCCCCCAGCACAGCCCTCCTCCCTGAGCGGCACGGCATGCACTGAAACCCCTTGATTTTGGGCAAAGACGTGGATGCACAGATGGATGCCCGGGCAGCACGGGTGCCTTGCACCGTGTCCCAGCCCCAGGCAAGCCCCGGGAGATGCTGCAATCCCAGGGGATGCTCAGAAATCAAAGCAGCTGCAGCTCCAGCTGGAAACTGCTGGAGAAGCAGAGCCCAGCAGCACCCCACAAACCCGCTACCTTGGAAAGGAGGCGTTGAAAGCATCGTCTCACACCCGAGCGCCCGCAGGGCAGGCTAGGGCTGACAGCCGGGCTGCGGCCAGACACAAAAGGGACGTCCTCTGTGACGGCAGGAGGCTTGCAGCTTCCTCCAAGGCTCATCCCAGCCAAGCTATGTCCTGCAGATGCCAATAACTCTCCTCAAATCCCCCCGCTTATAACAAGGGCTTAACGTCTTGCGACTTCGCCTTCAAGCTCCGCACAAAAATGAGGAGGCAGCCGTTCAAACCCGATGGCTGAAACGAGACTCCGCCGCTCTAATACCTGTTTTATTAAATACAACGGAGGTGGGCAGAAGCCAGCAGGGCCTGTGTCAGGATGGGGGCTCGAATTCCTGTCCTGGTTCAAAAGGTCACCCGGGGTGGGCGATGGGGGGACCGGCGGGCTCCGGCGGGCACGCACCCTGATTCACCTCCAGCTTGGCCACTGCCCCCAGTGCCAGCAAAGCCTGGGCACAACCCTCTGCTTTGCTTTGCTTCTGGATTCCTTCTGGCTAAGAGGGGATGCTCGCAGGCTGGGCAAAGCATGGTCAGGATGGGGGGGAAGGAGGATGGGGAAAAACCTGCTGGGGTTCATCTCTGCTGCCCCCCGAGAGCAGCTGCTGAGCCAAACCCAGCCGGAGAGCAGAGGGTCTCAACATCCTCACCTATAAAACAGGCCCCAGGGGACAAACCTGCACCATCCCTACAGCAAAGCAACGTGGCTGAGATGCTGGGATGAGCCAAGGAAAGACTCAAGGGAGGAGCCGGGGCTGCCCCGCCAGGTCCCCCCTCCCGCACGCTGCAAGCACTCAAAAATTCCAAAATTGAGGTTGTCTCTGCCAAGCCTGACTTGTCCCACCTTCTCTTCACTCCCATCCCTGTCTCTGCTGTTCAGGCTTCTCATTTCACTCCCAAACACCTCCCAAGCTTAGTATTCCCTCTGCCAACTCCTCGTCTGCCCTGAGCTTCCATTTACCTGGTAGCTGCCAGGCATTACCCTTGAGCAGGCGCCAGCTAATTCCAGTCTCCCCTGGACCAGGCTTCTCTGAATTCCGTGTGTCCTGGCCCAGCTGATACTGCTTTGCCTCCGTCCATTGCCGACATCCTTTGTTTCATAACAGCCTGCGTACATGAGTCTACCTCCGTGCTCGTCACAGGCCTTGCTCTTCTACTTTCTGTATTTAAATCGGGCTTCTCCGTTTCTTGGGCCCGGAAGAACAAATGCTGAAAGAATGGAAAAGAAAGGTTCCTTGCTCTCATGCCATGCAGACTCAGCTCTACGAAGTCGCTAAGCTCATCTGGGCCTAAGGCTTTAATGATGAAACGTGACTTGAAACGCTGATTATCATAAGCACGGTAAAAGTCCTACTTTTGACATAAAGGATGCTTCTGCCAAACCGTTTTCAAGCCCCAAGTGTTTGTGGATGATAATTTTGCGAAAAAAAGGGTCACGAATTTAGTTCAGCATAGGTAAAAGGATGAATATGCTTTCTCCTCAGAGGCAAAAGGTCTGTTTTGAGTTGCTTTCTTCAGCAAAGCTTAGTCCATTTTTGTCAGGCACGCCTTGTGGAACATCTCCATCCAAAGCTTTGCCAAAGTAGTGGGTTCCTGCACAGGGTACCTTTGAGTAGCCGTCCTCCTTAGTAACTGCCAGGGCTGTCAGGTTCTGCATACTAAGCTTGATGCCTGCCTTTGGCCATAAAAGGCTCAAGGAGTTCCTTTTGTTTTTCCTAAGATGGCTGTGAAATGGAAGTGAAATCGATGTTGAAAGTGATTATCGCTACAGTTTCATGGGAGGAGGTTTGATCATCAACCACCCCAGTGAAAGGAAGGATTCTGGAGAGTATCGGTCTTTAACCACCAGCACGTTTGGCGGTCTATTAAGCAGAGAGGCTGTTCTTCAGTGGTGGGGGGGGGGGGGGTGGGGGGTGTGTGCAGAGCTCGGGAGGTGCCCGGCAAACACAGCCAGCAGGCTGGTCCCGAGGTGCCAGAGCTGCCGAGTGGTTGCGACACGCTGTCATCGCACCCCGGCGCGTGCCGGGGGCCCGTCCCTCACCTAAGCAGTTGTGGCCGTCGTGTGCCAGGCGGAAGCCGTCGTAGCAGGTACAGCGGTAGTTGCCGGGGATGTTGACGCACTCGTGGACGCAGCCGGCGTTGTCTTCCCGCTCGCACTCGTCAACGTCTGCAGAGAGAGGAGGGCAGGAGAGCTGCGGGGCTGCCCCGGCTGAGGACGGCCAACTCGCTGCACGGGTGCTGCTCCCCATTTCCAGCGTGTGTGCGACCCAGCTGATATCGCGCCCTGCAGTCTCTGCTTATTCCAGCAGGTCCCCAGCTCCGTTATCACCTACAGCTTCCCTCCACACCCTGCAAAAACATCCCATGTCCTCCCCAGTCTAGACCCCGGACTTCCAGCTAACCCACCGTCTTAAAGCCTCGGCACAGCGCGGCGACCTGCCGACTGCTCTGGGAATCACACGGGATTTCCCGACGGTGGTGGGCAGAGCAGCCCGTCTCCATGGCGAAGCCTTGCTGTGCCTGGAGCGCGCTTTAATCCCTCTGCTATTTGTACTCAGCCCATCCCAACCCTGGACCCGCTCTGAGCAGAGCCGGGAATTTTTCCCCTGCCCCACTCCTGCTTTCCTGGTGCTGCTCCTCCAAGGAGCCCATTTTCTTTCTGTGCCCCGCTCAGCTGCATCTATCTACATCCATATCTACGTCTATACCTGCATCTATGTCTACAGCTTTATCTATATCACCTATATCTATATATCTTATTTTTAAGCTTCTCATGTTTTATCTGCTAACCCAGTTTTGCAGCCTTTGGGTTGGAAATCCTGCAGTTAAAAAAAGCCCAGCTTTGTTTAAAACAAGCCCCAGGTGATCCTTCTGGGCCTGGGCAGCCCCAGCCTTGCAAACGCGGCTCTTTGCAGAGCAGGGGAGGGAGCACGGCTGCTGCCACCGCCGCCGACAGGGACAGTCACACTCCTCTCCCTCCCCATGCATCGCAGCGTCAACAGGCCAGGAGTTTGGGGCAGAAAAGGGGGATAAAAGGTTTGCAGTGGGCTGGGGTAAACAAGCAGCCTTTTTGCAAGGGCAGAGGACATTGCTGACGAGCCACCGCCTGCCTGCGACCTGCCGGGGCTGGCACTCGTCAGCGGGGCTCCGGCTCCGGTTCCGGTGGCGGTGGCGTGCTCCTACCTTTGCAGTGCTTCCCGTCGCCGGTGTAGCCGGACTTGCAGATGCACTTGTAGGACTTGGGGGTGTTCTGGCAGATGGCGTCGATGTGGCAGTTGTCGGTGCCCTCCACGCACTCCACGACATCTGCAAGGGGAGAGGCGGGGGGAGCGATGGGGAGAGCCGGGGGGAGCTCTCCCCGTCTCCCCGTGGGAGCCATCACCTGAGGCGATGAAACCAAGCAGCCCGCCGGCTTTTCAACCCGCACGTGAACCAGAAAGGCTTGAGGGAGCAACGCCGCTGCTTTGCTCCTCAGCGGCTTCGCCGCACCCAGCCCTGACGCAATGGGTGATGGGCTCAGGATGGGGCGCTGGAGCGGCAAACACTCCCGAACAGCACTGCCTGTGTCCCCACCCTCGTACAAGCCACCCTGAGACTCCCTGACCCTTTTGCGTGTCTGATGGTAGGAAACACCGCTAAGGCGCCCATAGTCCAGGCTGGAGCCAGCCCAGGCAGAGGTGAAAGCCTCTGTCTCCAATTAGCCATTTCCTGAGCCGACCAGTCACCCAAATAATCGTCATCGCTTTCTATTCTTAGGCGCGGAGGAATGTGCACGAATTAGCAGGGACCACATTAAATAAACCTGGGAGCCGGGAGCGGGAAGCAGGAGGGAGAACTGGGAAAAACATGAAAGTTTCCTCTGGTGCACAGCCAAAATCCGCGTACCCCTCATCCCCCTTTGCCCCTCAACCCACTTCTCCGGGATGCAGCGCTGTGGTACCCGGGACATCACGTCCAGAGCATCACATGCCGGTGATGGCCTCAAGCAGCAATGCCCAAGGGTTTGCCACGGCAGGAGGCCGCGGGAGCGGAAGTTTTAATGATATTTGGGAAACAGAGAAGCCTCGAGCGCGTGGGGCGGAGGTTTATGAGCAAGAGGCTGCTAACCTGGCTGCTCTCTGCCTTCCCTACGCAGGCAGTAAGGGAGACGTGGTGCCCCGGCGTGAGCACATCCTCCTTCTCTGGCTGTGAACGCCTGGCAGTGGTGTAAGGCAGCTGGGTGCCCCCGGGGGGGCAAGGTGGGGGCTGAGCATTGCTCGTGACCCCTTGGGTACAGATAGGGCTCCCAGAGCACGCCGGGCTCCCTGCTCCGACTCCACGGGCACGTGGGGAGTGTCGACGCTGCTCCCAGGGGGGGGTTCGCCTTCGCTGCCTCCCACGGGGATGGGGAGGGTCCCACCAGGGAAGGGGGATCTGAGGGTCCCTTCAGCTTCCCTGTACCCCATAAAGACGAGCTTGAGGCTGCGAAGCTCTAAGCTGCCTTTAAAAAGCTGCTTTTCAGCAACCCCAAGAACAGAAGTGCTCTGAGACGTCCCCGAAGACATGAA